AATTTAATTTCAAAATGAACCAATAAAAAACAAACACATGGCATTTGCAATTAAAATAAAAGCCAATTTTACTATTTTTAAGATAAAAATACTATAATAATTATATAATTATTGCTTCTTAAGGCACATGATAGATAAACAAGAAAAAAAATTAATATAGTCCCAAATTTCTAATGAGAACTCCTGGTTCTCTGACTACTCTCTTAGGTTTTTTTTTTTTTTAGGGCACAAATCAAAGATACAATTATTGTATCTTTAGTATTAATTAATATTAAAAATATAAAATTAATATTAATTTTATTATTAATATCATGTAAATTATTTTAATTAAATAGTAAATAGTAAAACTTGACTTTCGAGTGTTAGTGGTTCGTCCAAAACTTTTACACATTTGGATTTATCGATCCGAGTTTCAACCCCCACTTACACCTCAAAAATCACATTCCCCCCTCCCAAAATGGTACACCGTTCAAAAAATGATTAAATAGTCAAAGTTAACTTTTACTTTTTAATAGTAATTAATATAAAAAACTATAACCATGACACCCAAAACATATAAAAAAAAATACTTTTTTTGGCCGTATTTGACTACTCCTTTTGGCGCTAGTGCTACCGTATTTTTCTGGTAAAATTTCTGGTAAAGTGGTAATGGAATCAGCATTTTGTTAAAATTATTCTGGTTTCCCTCCATTCAACCTCTCCATCTTTACTGATATATCATTAAAATTTTTAAGTCCAATCCTTGACTGAAACTGATGACATAAAGAGTAGTTAGGTACAACCAACAGCTTGGTTAAGAATAACAATAGTGCGTTTGAATTAGCAATTTAAGTTTAATTGGATAGTCAGTACCTATTGACAAGTAATTACTGTTATTTTTTTTAATTATTAGTTGTATAATAAAAAAAATAATGCTCTTTTATTTTTTAATTTATTTATTTATATATCATGCGATTCAAATTTAAAATTTTTTATTTTTATTAATAAAATTATCGTTAAATTATTTAAAATATTAAAACAAACAATTATTATGATTTACAAACAAAATATTCAAATAAAAGATAAAAAAATATATGTTGACTCACAATTCACATGATATCTCATGTTGAGCAAGTTTTCTAACTAATAAAAAACTAATACTTTAAAAATCATTCTAACTCAAATGGAGGGTCTTGGTTGTTGCTTTAATATCATTGTAATTTTATTAATTTATAATTTTTTAAAATAATTAATTATGATATTTAAAAATATTTATTTATAAATTAATTTTAATATATTAAATAATAAACATTAATTATTTGTCCAATTATTAATTATTTTAATAATTAAATTAAAATAAAATTTTAACAAATTTTTTTAATCTTACCAAAATTTAATGTGATGATATTTTTTCCCCTCGTGGAGCTATGAAATCTCAACATGAATCTTTTATACGTGTCATGATGTTGAGGTGCGAAATTGGACACAAAGAGCTTTGACACGTCATACTTTTCTCCAAAACCGAGGCGGTCCAAAGTCTTGGTTTGAATCTTATTCAAATTGTTTTATTAATTTGAAGTTGAAATTGAAGCAGGGGATTGAGAAAAAATGAAAAAAGAACTCAATTGCTATACATGACCCATTATTTTCTTTCATTTAACAATTTTCCTACATTGCGTCAAGCATACATACATTTTTCTAATCGGTCATTACTGAAATGTTATTTGATTTCAAGGAAAAATCAGGTCATCGAAACAGGGCAAACTTTGATACACAGTTCTTGATTTTCTGCAACCTAACTGATTATGATCAGAAGGCCATCATCATCTTGGCAAATTCCTCATAGCTCACCAGTCCATCACCGTCTAAATCAGCTTCTCTGATCATCTGTTCTGCTTCTTCTGCTGTCAATCTCTCCCCCAGATTTATCATCACTTGTCTCAACTGTACTCCATAAAAATAAGCAAGAATGAATACAGAAACATCAATTCAAACAGAAATTAAAAATTGTATATTGGGTTTAACTTTAAAAACAGTTTTTCTACCGTAAAAAGTGAAATTAAGGTCAGTTTTCAAAAGGGTTTTGCAAATTTAGAATTTGATTTTAAGTTTCAAATTTGCAGGTTAATATAATTTAACAACTTTCAAATATATTTATACTATATGATTCGGAAAAACTGTTTAGAAAAGTTCTACTCAGACAGAATTTCTACAAATCTAAGGATGAACTAAGTGACTTTACCTCAGTTGATGATATGAAGCCATCCTGATCTCTGTCAAACACTTTGAAAGCTTCTTTTAGCTCATCAGCAACATTTTCCTGGAGAATTTTATCATGATTGCATCAAACTCTAAACTTTGGTCTTTTTTAAAAAAAAAAAGAGATTTGTAAATATAAATAAAATGAGTACCTTCATTTTTCTGGTCATAATATTCAAGAACTCGTCAAAATCAATGGTGCCATCTCCATCAGTATCAACCTCACTGATCATGTCTCGAACCTCTTCTTGTGTCGGATTTTCACCTAAAGATTGAATCATTTGTGCCAGTTCCTCCAAAGTAATGCAGCCTGGCGATATCATTACCAGAATCAAATTTGTTGAAAAAAAAAAACAAAAAGAGGTAAAAAATGAGAACTTTCATGATGTCTAAGAAAAACAGAACATACCATCAGAGTCTTTATCAATCAGGCAAAAAGTTTCCCGGAACTCTGCTACTTGTTCTTCCGACAGTGTTTCAGCCATTGCTACAATCAAAGGGAAAACTGTCTTGACACCTATATGCTCAAGAAAAGAGGTGTATGGTTTCGTAGGGGGAATGGGAGGGGTTGGGAAAACAGGGATATAAGAAGAGAAAAAAGGGCTTGGGAACATGGAAATTGTCAACA